CATAAAAGCTTCCCAAGTAAAGGCACCCGTGTGACAGCTGATGTAAAACACAGGATCAGATCAGGCTCTATGAAGCTCAAAATAGTCGGTCCCAATCAGTGAGAAGATGCCTTGATTGTCTCAGATCAGAACATCCCTGAATATCATTACATTTGCAGGCATTTGATCATTAACCTTGTGACTTCTGGACCAGTGTTGACCTGATAATGGCGCTAGATGAAAAGTCAGAGGATCAGCAAAGTTATTACCCTCCCTCCTGAGGAGACAATGAATGTGTGAATCAGTGGGAGAATGGTTATATCTTCCTGAGACCCAGTGTCCTCACATGAGGACATCACATTTGGGGTTTACTGGACCTTATACGTCACTCTTCTTAACTTAGACCTGTTGTCCTCGTTGGTGGGCACTAGTAAGATGCACTAATCCATGTAAAACAAGATGGCAGCCATCTCTGCCAAGTCAGTCTGCAGCTGACCCTGACACAAAAGTCGACAAGGTCCAAAACCTGATCAGATTTAATGGTTGAAACTTGTTCTTCTTCTTATTAATGATTAATAACGTTTCTAGTTTGATATGGCAACAATTTAACAAATTTCAGCAACAGTAACAAGCTAAGACACTGTTAATTAGAGATTACCTTCTGCAAACGTCTCTAAGTAAAGTCAAGTGCTTTATAAAGATCATTTCAAAGGTAAAATGTGCACTTCTGAACTTCTTTAACTCCTTTTATTTTCTGTACCTTTTGGTATAGCTGCCCAAAGGATGATTTATGTGATGTTCAGTTACACCCTGCATTCATTATTGCATTGTTTACATCAAGTAAATCATACCTAAAGTCTCTGGTTAAACAATCAGAATCTATAAGACTGAGTACACAGCAAAGACACAGCAGCAGAACTGGTACACACAAAATCCTATTAAAAAAAAAGAGCTGTGTACTTACAGTAGAAATGTGTGTGACTCTCCAAGGCAGTGCTATCGTCTCTGAGAGAAACACAGAGCTGTGTTCTTCATTGGGAGAGAGAGAGAGAGGAGCAGCCATCTGATTTCCCAGAAACTGCAGAAAGAGTTGCAGAGTGCAGGGTGGGGGAGTAACTCAGTGGTACACCTCCACCAGTGTCTGTGTGCCTCTGTGATGTCAGGGCATACATTTAAAACAGACAATAATACAGGACGCTTTGCAAAGTCGTTCCAATAAATACTGCTCACAATATTTTCTGTAGCTTTTATAATCATGAGTGTGTAAAATGCAGCACTTTGCTTTCACTTTCAGTTTTGCAGGTTGGCATTTCTGGGAAATGGTCTGACTTGTGTGAAGTCATTAACACTTTCAGTCCCTGTGTATCTCAGCCCTCTGGTCACTGATCCTACTGTTATCTCTCAGAGAGTAAGAGGGAGAGGAGAACAAGATTCACTTCATCCATCCATCCACCTCCGAATTGATTAATATGATTTATTCATTTATTGAGGCATGACTCAGCACAGAATGAAGCCACACCACAGTGCATGTGTGTGTGTGTGTGTGTGTGTGTGTGCACAGTGCATATAAAAGGAGCTACAGAGTCAGCTGAAGCAGCACTCCTCCTCCCCTCCTGATCAGAGACAAACTAAACGGTAAGTTGCTGAACACACTGAGCTGTTACTCTGTTTATGTGATGCTGAAGGTTGTCGGTGCCTGAACGTGACTGCATGATTTTATTTAAAGTTACACTAGGGCGACCATATTTTGATTTCCAAAAAAGAGGACACTCGGCCGGCCACGACATAGCCTACTTAAATGATACTCGCAGTTTACTCAAAGATGCCTTATCATTTAAATATATTTAAAATTTATATGTACGGATAGAAAATTCAGTTATATTACAAAATAATATCTCTCAAAGACAGAAATTCAGATAGGCCCCAATAGGGGACACATACACACACTAGAGTGTGGCGATCCGAGCCCGACGGTACCTGACGGGTCGGGCCGGGTTTGGTCAGAAATGTAGCTATAAATTGTATTGGGGCTCGGGTCGGATTCGGTCAGCTTTCAGTGAAAATGTAGTGTTAAAAAAATAAAATCCTATTGTCTGTCCTGTTTATTGCTTGGGCACTGTTATTTACGTGACAATACCTGAACATAACACACACAGACACACATTGGCTGTTTGTTTCTCCCTCTTCCCTCGCTGGAAGCGTTGGATCTCCCGCCTCCCGCTCCCGTCTCAAACACGGAGGTCTCCCTCTCCGCTGAGCACGCCCAGCCTGTTAAATAGCCTGTAACCGTAACAACTGTGTGACACAAACTCAGTGCTTTGGTCATTAAATAATGTCGGGCTCGGTTTGGGTTCAGACAGAAATATACGGCCCGTGCCGCACTCTAACACACACACACACACACACACACACGGAAAACCGGACATTATCATCAGTTTATAAAAAAACCCTGGATGCCCCGGACGGGTCCATCCCACTCTCATGAACGCAATATCTCTAGGACACCTCGATCATTTTTTCAAATTTGGCGCAAACTCAAAATCAAGGTTACTTTGACCTTATCTGTCTCATTCTTGTGAAAATTATATCTCAAGAACACCTTTAAGGATTTCTTTCAAATTAGGCACCAACGTCCACTTGGACTCAACAATGAACTGCTCAGAATTTGGTGAAGGTGAGGTCGAGGTCACAGTGACCTCACAAACATGTTTTTGGCCAAACCACAATAAAAAATTCACACAAATGTCTGACAGGATAAAACTGTAAAGGGATGACATTTTATATCCCAAAGGTCAAAGGTCAGCTTCACTGTGACATCATAATGTTCTGCATAAAATTTTTCTGTCCATTACTCAGTGTCATATCTCAGAAACAGAAGGGGAGACATTTGGTCAGATACTGAATTGGTGACTCTAATCTTGAAACTGTGCTGATTGTATAGATCTTCTGTGCGTGAAGCATTCATGTTTTCACTGACATGGATGGAGACTGGAACTACAACGAGTCTAGCTTAGACAAGTTTGAGGAAATACGTAGTATTTGGCACCCAGTTTGAGTTTTGTTGAAGCATGTTTCCTGTCTTACACAGTTGATGCCGGTGTGAAAAGGAGCATTATTTGATTCTATTTATTGTATTTCTTTGGCAGACTAGGCCTAAGTCAGCCTAACTAGGGGCTGGTACAGGGCAAGCCTGAGCCAGCCCTAACTATAAGCTTTATCAAAGAGGAAAGTCTTAAGTCTAGTCTTAAATGTGGAGACGGTGTCTGCCTCCCGGACCGTAACAGGAAGATGATTCCACAGGAGAGGAGCCTGATAGCTGAAGGCTCTGGCTCCTGATCTACTTTTGGAGACTTTAGGGACCACGAGTAACCCTGCGTTCTCAGAGCGCAGTGTTCTGGTGGGATAATATGGCACTATGAGCTCTCTAAGATATGACGGAGCTTGACCATTTAGAGCTTTATAAGTTAACAGTAGGATTTTAAATTCAATTCTGGATTTTACAGGGAGCCAGTGCAGAGAAGCTAAAACAGGAGAAATATGATCTCGTTTCTTAGTTCCTGTTAGTACACGTGCTGCTGCATTCTGAATTAGCTGGAGAGTTTTTAAGGACTTACTAGAGCTACCTGATAATAGAGAGTTACAGTAATCCAGCCTTGAGGTAACAAAAGCGTGGACCAATTTTTCTGCATCTTTTCGGGTCAGGATAGGCCTAATTTTCGCAATATTATGCAGATGGAAAAAATGCAGTCCGTGAAGTATATGAACATATGAATGCTGAGCTGAACCATTATGGGTTTTTTTTTCCCCCAAACTCAACCACATAACTAACCTATTACTCACTGAAATACACATAAACACGAGTTGTTTTACCAATGTTGAAAATAATTTTGAAAAAGACTGTATGCATCTAACAAACACAAACTGTACATCTGAACAAGACGTGTTTCGAAAAGACACAATGCATTTAACAAGAGTAAACTGACCTGCTGTCCCTCAGTGTCAACAATAAACGCAGGAGAATGCCCAGCATGTAATTTGTAGATGTGAACAACACTGACCAAAAGGTGATATGTGACAAGTTGGGATAGAGACAGGTTGGTAGTGCAGACTCTTCCTGCACACTAACACCATCAAAAGCTTGACTGTCTAACACTATAGCTGTACTTATAAAAAGGTTGCATATTTTTAACACAGATAAATATATTGGAGTTCTGTCCATTGTGTGTAAATGATACTGTGTACAACCCTTCAAACTATCAGCTTCTCAGGAGCCCACAAAATCCTTCAAGTGAAATCATAAAAGTGACTCCAGAAATTCCAAGCACAGTTTCTGGAGTCAAACAATTGGTCTTCGACTGCAGACAGAGGCACATAAAAGCTGTCGTCTCAGTTTTTGCCAGCTGAAATTTAAACTGTCACTGGCAGATTTTAACAACAGCTCTGATGTCAAAGTCACGCTACCTCATCACAGGTTACACTTAACAAAAACGCAACAATTACAAGACAATGAGATCTCTAGGCTGAATAAATATAACTCCATGCAGCCTGTTGCTGTTTGTTACTTGAGAAGACATCAAGGAACGTCAGCCTTTGGACACTTAAACTCTCACAGTCATGTGTTCCTTTGCAGTGCCAACTATCAGATGACATGTAGGGTCAATGATATATGGGGTAATGTTTTAAAATATATCAATTATCCTAACAATGATCATAAAGATAGAAGAGGTCTTTAAACACAATTACTGCACCATAAACAGAGCTGTGTTTCACAGGGACATTGTTCTTTTTCTATTTCAGGAGTTTTGGGGATGAAGATTTAAATCCTGAGCAACAGAAGTCACAACAGCTCTTGGATCCTAAACCAGAAGACTTGACTGTGAACAGCCAGCAGAGGTTTTCAATAAATCAGTTTTACTTGATGACTTACTTGTATTACTTGATTTCAACAGTTTTATGTTAAGTAAAAATGTAATTAGGGTTGCAGCAATATACTGGTTTCAATGTTTACGTGATATAAACGATGACGATCATCAAACTGTGTACATTTGCTTATCTACGATATTGAAAAAAAAATGCAATTGGACGTTAAATCTCCCCTTTATTTTAGTTATTTTGTAAGGGGAGACTTTTTACACAGCCTCCATTAACAAAATGGTCTCAAATTACAATTATAGTGATAGAATGTTTGTTAAGCCAACAATAACCCTTCAGTTTTCATTCCTGTAGGGGTCATTCTGACTGTTAATAAGATAATTTTTTTAATACTGTGATACCACGAAACTGCAATATTTTCTGAGACGGTTATCGTACCATGACACCTCTACCTTGACCTATGGCTAAGCCACGCCCCCCTCCACTCACTCGGACAAACTATCAACATTCAGTGACCGGCGCTATAGAGTGTGCCAGGGCTGACGTCAAAACCTGGAAGTTTAGTATTGCACTGGTTCCCGGAAGAGAAAGTGAATGTGATTTTTGCATTGCGTTTTGGATTATTTCAGAAAATAAGCTCTGTGGCTAACACAAGTTTATGATACTTACAGGTTTTGTTCAGCGAGATAATCTTCACATATGAACACCTTTCATACCACATTTGAAGCTTAAATGCGATCGCCAGAAGTAAAAAGCTAACGTTAGGCTTTAACGGACTACATGACTACTCCACAGTTGCATGACTCTTGACGTCACCGCCACTAAGCTTTCAACTGATGTCGGCTGCTTTATTTTAAAAACATTGTATAATGGGGAAATCGGACTGTTTAAGCTAAATAAGAAGCTGTAATGGCGGACTGCCAGCACTCTCGCCTGTTCGGGAGTGATGGCGTTTAATGTCCGCAACAGGATTTGTAGTCGTATTGAGCAGCTTGTTAGCAACCCCCTTTTTTACGACACCTAAAAGCTTCTAAATTCACAAGTAGGGTATTTACTGACGTATTTTATGTCGTAGAACAAAACCTGAAACTTCCTTAAGCTTTTGTTAACCACAGACCTTATTTGAGGCATTTCACCAAA